TAGATTATGTGTGGAGCCTGAGGGGGCCACAGGCTAGGGTCTTTTCTGTGTAGGAAAGAATGCCATAAACTTATAGTTTATGATAATAATGATAAGAACATACAGCTTGTACTTAAGATTTTGTTTTCATTTTAGCACATTTCTGAAATGTTATGTGTGAGTTTAAAGTATAAATTAAGGCTTTCTATGTTGTTTTTAGCATTAAATCATGTTTTTGTATAAATATGCATCATAACATTAATTAATCCAATAAATATTTATAGAATGCTCATGACCTACCATTCATTTGTTCCCTAAGACCATAGGCACAGATCATAAAACAACACCAGATCTAGTAGGATATATATTTACTACTCTAGACCATCTCTGCTTTAATAATAACAGGGCCATCCTGAGCCCAAGGAGGAAAATTTAAGTGAGCTTCTCCTATATTTCACTTTCTCAGCTTGGAATTCCTTGGCTGAATACAATAATGAAATAATGCACATGCGAACTCCAGACTTGAGCAGCTCAAGACAATGGTTGTATATTTTCATCCAAAACATTTACTGTTATAGTTTTTTTTTTCTTTTTTTGAGACGGGGTTTCTCTGTGTAACATTCCTGGCTATCCTGGAACTCACTCTGTAGACCAGGCTTGCCTTGGGTTTAGAGATCCACCTGTCTCTGTCTCCTGAGCATTGAGATTAAAGGCATGTGCTACTACCTCCTAGCAATAGATAGATGTTTAATGCATAAATTAAGCCAATAACAAACACCTTTTTTTTTTTTTTTGGTATTTTTTCCTTGTGGAAGTCAAATTAACTGAAAGCACTTGCCTATCATCTTTGGTGATAATCTGATTATACATAGAAATCACCAAGCATCAAAATTTATAATATAGTGTGAGATTTAGAGTATTTTACATGGTTGAGGTAGCCATGTAGAATGTTTATTTGTAAAAAAAAAAAAAAAAGTTCTTGCTCTCTGTATTACCTTTTAAATGACTGGAAAGGAGAAATATCTTACTCTTATTAACAATAAAAAGTCACTCTAGGTCTGGAGAGGTGGCTCTTCCAGAGGACCTGGATTTGATTCCCAGAACCCACATGGGAGCTCACAACCATCTGTAACTCTAGTCCCAGGGGATCTGATACCCTCTTCTGGCCTCCACATCCACTAGGCCTGCGAGTGGTGTACATAAATACATGCAGCAAAACGTCACACACATATAAAAGTGGCACATGTTTAAGAATAAACTTATTAAAAATACTAAATCTATATAAAAGCACTATAAGATTACTAGAGTATATAAAATAAAATATGAACAAAGGGAAATGTATTTGTTTTGAGATTAAAAATTTGATATAAAATATAAACTTTTTTTTTTCTCGAGACAGGGTTTTTCTGTTGCTTTGGAGGCGGTCCTGGAACTAGCTCTTGTAGACCAGGCTGGTCTCAAACTCACAGAGATCCGCCTACCTCTGCCTCCCAAGTGCTGAGATTAAAGGTATGCGCCATGAATGCCGGGCTGTAAAATGTAAACTTTTAAATGCTGACATGATAGTATATATCTGTAATCCCACTACTCAGGAGGCAGAGGCAGGAGGATCATTGGAGAGGACTCCCAAACAGTGAGGCTCCCTTTCAGACCTCAGATTAGGCATAACCTACACCCAAACACCTGTTTTCACAGAGAGATACTTTATTAAGCACGGAAGAAAAGTTAAGGAGGCTGCTTTCTTACTCAGGCAGAAAAACAGTAGCAAATGACCTTGTAGGTGTCATTCTTTGGTTTTTTATAATTTAATTTAATCTCATTTGCATTGGTATTTTGCATGCATGTATATCTCTGTGAGGGTTTTACATCTTGGAGTTACAGACAGTTGTGAGTTGCCATGTGGGAATTGAACCCAGGTCCTCAGGAAGAACAGCCAGTGCAATTAAGTGCTGAGCCATCTCTCCAGCCCTACAGTTGTCAATCTTAAGAAGAGGAAAAGGGGAGGTCTGTGTCAGAATGGGCTAGCAAGCAGTGGTAAAGAAGACAGGGGATGAGGAAGATGGGAAGGGGACAAGGGCAAAGGGGCAGGGGCCCCTTTGTCTTGGGGACAAAGGACTGCTTCTAGATAGAAAAGAGACAGTTGTGATACATAGGCAAATGGCAGCTTATAAAGGAAGGGGGAAACCCAAGTTAGGAGTGTCAATTAGGTGGGCCAAAGGGGACTTTTGAGTGTTAGACTTCAACACATTGATAGCTGGACCTTGGTAGTCAGCCTCAGGAGGAGGAAGTGGTCAAATACGGGAATGGGCCTTGGGGGCTAGCTTTAGGGATGCGATCTAATGGTTTTTACCAAGGAAGAGAGAATGGGGGAGAAGGGCAAGGCCTGCAGAGCCATGTTCCCCACACTCAAGCTAGAGCTGGCCAGAGTCCCTTCAATCATGAGTTCAAGGACAGCCTGAGCTACATACAGAATTACAGGGTAGCCTGGGATATATGAGACCCTGTCTTCAAAACCAAAACAAACAGCTAACAAAAGCCCCAGGGGTCAAGTTCGAGATTTTGTCTAATTTTTTTACCTGGTATAATTTTCCTGAACTGTGAAATGAAGTAAACAAAATGGAAATATTAACTATAAGAAGCAATGATATTTTTTACCCTGGTCATGAGGTGTTCACTGCAAATGACAACCCTGGCTTCTTAATCCAGACAATAAATCCACCATTTATTGTCAAAACATTGTGTCAGATAGCAAAGCATGCAGAAGTAGGAACTGGACTTGGTTTCCAGCAGACAACCAAAGATGATTTTTGGTTTTAGAAACACCAACTTCTTCTGATAGAATGCGCAGGCATTTCTAGGATATCTTTGAAGAAATCCAGAAGAATGTGTGGTAAAGTCACAGTTTGATTCAGATGTCGGTCACTGTGTGAAGGATCCTCACTCAATCCCTGCACCCGCGGTGATATATTGTTTATAGTCTAATACAGCTTGCCTGAAAATCAGGATGCAAAGCCAGCCACAATGGTTAGCCCTAGAAGCTAGGCAGTGGTGGCTCACACTTTTAATCCCAGGACTCAGGAGACAGAGGCAGATGGATCTCTGTGGGTTCAAGGCCATCCTGAGCTACAGGCGAGTGAATCAGTCTGAAAGAGTAACAGAGCTCATACCTTTAATCCCAGCACTAGGGAGCTATATAAAGAAGAAGCAAAGGGTCTCATGTGACATTCAGTTTCCAGTCACAGGGAAGACAGGATCACCCTTCTCAGCCTTGGTAAAGGTAAAAGCTACTGGCTGGCTGCTTTGCTTCTCTGATCTGCAGCTTGAATCTCAATATCTGTCTCTGGGTTTTTATTCTTTGTGCTACACCCATCCCTACTGAAAGGAGATTTGGGCAGGAGCTTTCCCCGTTAGCAGTGTTTGTCTTTCTATTTCTTCCTCTTCCAGTGCCGTGATCATTGCCTGTTGTTTCTCCTCCAGGAACTGACATCTTCCTCTAAATGTTTGCAATTGCTCCCATGAGCTATCTATTCTCAGGTGGCCCTACTTTTACAACCATTTCTGGGGAAATGATGGTTCCTCTTGCCTGGGGCACGCTTGACTTCTCCTCTGGGCTTACCTGTGATTCCTGGACCTTATGTTTCTTTTTATTGCTTACCAGGAAGGTAGAGATGCAATCATATAACAGGCAGGTGGAATTGCCTGGGAGCGTAGAAAGCCCCTGTGGTCCCTAAGACTCAGGACTACCATTTCACACCACAGATGCTTAGTTCACAGTCCAGGGCTGGAGGCATTGTATGCAGACGCACTGTTTGGAAGACTTCACCAGGTCCATCTCTTTTCAGGTGTTCTCTCCCTGTGTGGTTCAAGGTTCCCCCATCCTCACTCTCATTCTACCTGCCACTTGTTCAGTGTGACAGAATTCCCATTCCTGTCATGAACCCTTCCAGAACTTCTGGCAGCCTGCTTGCTGTGTTTCTGAGCATGTGCCCCTCTCCATCCAGTAGTTTCTGTCATCTTGGTTTCCACATCCTCCATAAACATTTCATTCATCCATGCATCCATGTTTCCTTTTTTCTCCACCCCACCCCCACCGCTTTTTTTTTTTTTTTTTTTTTTTTGAGACAGGGTTTCTCTGTGTAGCTCTGGCTGTCCTGGAACTCACTATGTATTTCAGGTTGGCCTTGAACTCAGAGATCCACCTGCCTCTGCTTCCTGAGTGCTGGGATCAAATGTGTGCACCACCACCTCCTGGCTCAATTCCTGCTGTTATATACTGGTTGCCCAGAATAGATGAGATGGGATTAAACTGAGTGAGTGACTCTGAAGACTTACAGATAAAAACAAATTGGATGACTTTGAGTTTTCAGGTCTTAGGTGGCTTGGTTAGGATGGAACCCTCAGGAAATGAAGAAATCAGGTTTATAGATTTCCCAATCTGTAAACCCAGTCTAAGGAAGGAGGGCAACGATTACTGACACCGGATGTAGCACTCAATGCCAGGAAGTTACACCAATCACTCAGAACCCGTACCTGGCCATACTTGCTTAGGGCAAATGACTTTATAGCTGACCGAGAACTCGGAAATATCCTCTGTGACTTGGGCCACCCTTTTCTAACTGTCTGTGGCCCACTCTGGGGCTATGAATAACAAGAACAATGTCTTAATGCCAATGTAGCACCTAGTTACTTATGGGGGTGGTGATGGGGTTGGGGAGCTTGGCGATGGCTCATAGGATAGCTAGATATTTTCATACAAATTTCAAATTATCTATCATCCTCCATAGAAAGTCTTAGGGTCCACGTTGTATTTGACTTTCATGTTCTCTGTCACCAGTTCCATCCTTTCTCCTGAGGCTTGCAACTATGAGCCACCACATCAAGGAGTTCTTCCTGAACTTTGCCCCGTGGCTAGGTTGGCCAGACAAGTGCCAACTTAGATCCTAGGACATGCTGCGCCGCCTTTCCACATTCTGCATGTGTTTTGGAGTAAGAACGGAGTTGGCTGTGAACTCTGACTGTGTTTTCCAGTTGCCTCACTTGTATTGTCTCTGAAGCCCCCTTTGTTCCTAAAGTAGTTTAGGGACATCCTGCTTCCTAGAACCAGTCCTAAAAGAAATGAAAGGTTTCCAAAGCTGACTGAGAAGTGAGATCGTGTGTGGAACTCTATGGGCAGAGAACAATACTCAGTATTGACTACAATAGGAAGAGGGGGAGGAAAGTTAGGGCGAAATGATGGAAGGAAGCTGGCAGGCTCAGAGTTTCTCTTTTGGCATAAGCACTCCCTCTTCATTGTCTTCCTAGACAGCAGGCCTGGTGCCAGGGATCTAGTAGCTTTCTTCACAAATAAAAGCAGGTGAAGCTGAATAGTGTCTGCATTTCAAGACCCAGGAGTCGCCAAAATGATGCCTTTTGCTCCTTTGATCCTGGCGTGCATTTTGCTCCCTGCCATTCAAGCCACACAACTCACAAAATGTGAGGTGTACCAGGCCATGGAAGACATGGATGGCCATGAAGGCATCACTTCTCTAGAATGTGAGTATGCTACTCTACCTACCTTTTGCTTCATCTGGTTCCTCTCCTCCCTCTCCTCATTCTCTCTCCCGTCTCCTCCACTTTCACCCAACCATCTCCTTGTCTTGGGTCTCTTCTTTTGCTCTGTTCTCTTTATTCAGTTTTCCTTCCTGTTCTTCCTTTCTCCCATTGTCTTCTCCTTGTCCCTTCCTCAACAGACTTTATGCTGCACTACTTTCGGAGATTGATCAATTACACAGCTCTGTGAACCATCTTTCCTCCCTCTCCCTCAGGGACCTGCATTATATTTCACAGCAGTGGCTGTGACACACAAGCTATAGTAAAGAACAACGGCAGCACAGAGTACGGGCTCCTCCAGATCAGTAACAAACATTGGTGTGAGAGTAACGAGATCCCCGAGTCGGAGAACATCTGTGGCATTTCCTGCGACAGTGAGTAGCCTCTTCCACCCCGCTCTTCTGCTTCCTTATAGCCTTCCTCAGAAGCAGTCTCCTTCTTGGTACCCAGTGCATTTCAGGAGTCACTGCCCTAAGAACATTGTGACCTGAAGTGATGATGCTTAGTAAGAAACTGGTCCCTAGCCATGATCTCCACATGCCCAGAGAGGTGCCCCACCCCAAAGTTCAGGGATAGGTAATCTGCTTGTTAGACTTGAAGTCTGCGTTTTTAGGTATGATGAAGCTGGTATACTTCTCAGAGGTGTCTGGGAAATGGGGAAGGAAGTCCCTACCTAGGGGAGGTGTCACTAGATTGGCCTTTTTATATAGAAAGTCACTAGGTCAAGTCTTCAGCTCAGAACCGGGCCCTCTGGACCCAGGAACTAGCCCATCTCTTCTCTGAGCTGCATGTCTTAGTGTCATTTCTTCCTGCACTCTGCTAGAGTTCCTGGATGATGACCTTACCGATGACAAAATGTGTGCCAAGAAGATCCTGGCTATCAAAGGGATCGACTACTGGTAAATCACATCCTTTCTCTCCTGCCAAGAGCAATGTGCTTTCCTCCCTTGTATCCCCTGGCCATTTAATCTTGGGTAGAGTTTCCAAAACAAAACTCATCAACAGACTCAAAGGGTCCATTTAAAAAATGTCCTACTGTGTCATTCCTGTGTGACAGCGTTCCTGGTATGAAGTTCTCTATTGGAGGGCTGATGTTCAGGTCCCTAGTCCCCTGGTCAGTTCTTAGCCTTAAAGCAAGCCCTTGGTATCATTACATATTTTTCTAGATCTGACTTTCCTTGATTTTATCAATTATTACTTTAACAAGTCCCTTTACATTTAGAAGCCCTTGCCATGTGTCTCAGAATGTCTACTTCTTGCCTACAATCTTTCACCTCACTGAGGAAGAAGTTAAATGGAGCTTATGCTAAGATACTGCAAACTACCAGCAAGAGGGGAGAAAGTGTGTGTGTGTGTGTGTGTGTGTGTGTGTGTGTGTGTGTGTGTACATGCGAGTGTTGGTAACTGAGCAAAGTACAATGATATACACAAATGAAAATGTCATACTGGAGCCATTGCCATGATGGAACCCATTATTTAGTCAATTAAAAAGAAAGTTCCGTCCAGTCAGCCAACTCATTTTGTCTGTTTCTCCATGAATAGGCTGGCACACAAGCCACTATGCTCTGAGAAACTAGAACAGTGGCGCTGCAAGAAACTGTGAGCTCCTGGGTCCCTGTCGCTCCTGCCCCATGTTCTGGAATGCCTCTTCCCTAAGGCTACCTCAGTTCGGCTCTTTTTTTTTTGTCACCATGAAGATCATCTGTCTCTGAGCCCTGTACCCTGTAGTGACACCACTGGACTCTTGAGGACTTTTGTCAAAGGGTGTGTGGCTGAAGCAATGGACTGCAGACCCTTGGTTGCTTAGTGATGGTGAGGGCCTCAGTGGCGTTTTCACCAAAGCAAGAGTGTCCTTTCCCATTCTAAATAAAGGGCCTGACTTGACGTGTCTGTCACCGATGTAATGATTAAGAAAAAGAAAGGAGAAGTGGGTACTTTTCAGGTCCTGCCAAGGTATGCCACTAAGCAAACACACTGCATGCAACGGAATTAGTGTAAGAGGGTTATGCTGGGAGGCGGGCAGTGAAAGAGCGAAAGGTCATGTCAGATTTGGGACATGAGAGAGACTGGCAGACAGACAGGGAGAGAAACAGAACAGAGAAGAGACGAGGGAGTGAGCTGTGCCTGGCGGGCACTATTAAGCCGTGCACATGTTGCATAGCTGGAGGTGGAAAGGCACCTGGTTATAGGTGATGATGTAACTGCTTCAGTGGCAGAGGCAGGCTGCTGCTTGAACTACCATTCCTCCCTTTTATTTATTATAAAAAGGTGAAGAAAGCTGGGAGTTGGTGGCGCATGCCTCTAAACCCAGCACCTGGCAGGCAGAGGCAGGAGGATCTCTGTGAGTTCGAGGCCAGCCTGGTCTACAGAATGAGTGCCAGGATAGGCTCCAAAGCAATACAGAGAAACCCTGTCTTGAAAAACAAAACAAACAAACAAACATAGGAAGTGAGGAAATAGGAAGGTGTATCTGGTGAGGGGGAGTGGGGGCGCTATGTTCTCTAGACCGCTTCCTGTTGTCTCAGGGCTCAGCATCTCTGGGGGACCTGAGAAAGCTGGGATGCTGGCCAAGTCCTGGGGTATCTGGCTGTTTCACTCAATGTCCAGGATGGTCTGGTGCTGGAAAGTGCAAGTCTAGCTGAAGCAGTCTGTGAGGTTGGACCACTTTGGGCTAGCCATTTGAAGCTGTCCGGCATGCAGATTTTGAGGGGACTTGGCAGGATGCTGGCAGGAAATAAAGTTAAGTTTCAGGAGGAAATTTTTTTCTTAGTCTCCTCTCAATTACTAGGACCTAAGAAAAAAATTCTTCCTAAAAATTGAGAGGGAGGTAGGGTCCCAAGACCAGGGAAAAGTGAAGAGGAGATTCCCCCACCTCAGGAACAGGCAGTATGGGGAAACTTAGGCTGTTGACTGACAGTACTTCTTTGGAGCTTACCAGAATTTTTTGAGTTTACAAAAAGAGACAAGTTTTAGACACATTAGCAATCCCACTGTTAGTAATCTGTACTGGAACCCACATTGTGGAAAAGGAGGTAGACTCACGCCTTTGAGGCACAGGGGACCCTAAAATGATTCCGGGTTAAAAGCGTGAACACTCTTTCCTCTGTCCAGAAGACTGGGTGTATATAGATTAAACATGTTTTTAGCACAATGAGAAGCACTTTTAAGTCTAAACTTAGAAAACCCCCAAAGGGGATTTAAATTCTTGAACTTGTGACTATAATAATAGTGGTGCCTAATAGAGCTAGATTAATAGCTTATCAGAGTTCCACTGATTAATGTTAAGACTTGACCTTTTGGAGTCTTAATACAACAATAGTATATAGTGAGGGAAAAACTCTGAAACATGTTTCCTTCTTTTTATAAACCTTAAGTCGCTTTCTTATCACCATTTAAGCTTTCACACCGTTAGACCTTTGTAACTTACATTTAAACACCTTGATAACTTGCATTTACACACCTGGCATTTTCTTTCTACAGGGAAAGGGAGGAACTAGGGTGGGGATTCTAGAACCCCAGGCCATAGCCACTTCCCCTGCTTCTGTAGGAGAGTGAACTCACTGCATGAAAACGGAGAACATTTGTGTGTGTGTGTGTGTGTTAGTTAATTTATTGTAGTTGTTATTGTAAGTTGTTAAAGGGGTTCACCCTATGAGGACTAGTAGGAACAACAACACAAATGGTTGTAATACAAGGAGTAGTGTCAGAAGAATGGTGAGAGGGGTTAGAAATATGTACTGCATATTCTTTCAATTTCTTAATGATTCATTTAGTTTTTATTTTACGTGCATTGGCTTTTGCCTGCATGTATGTCTGTGTGGTGATATCAGATCCCCTGGAACTGGAGTTACAGATAGGTGTGAGCTTTCATGTGGGTGGTGGGAACTGAACCCAGGTCCTCTGCAAGAACAGCCAGTGCTCGTGACTGCTGAGCCATCTCTCCAACCACTCCCTGCATATTCTTAAGAGGAAAGATGATTTGTATTTGAGGGAAATGGAAAAATGAGATCAAGGAAGCATTCATAGGCAGGGATTTAGCTCAGTGGATAAATGGTTACCCAAGCAAGTGTGAGGCCCTTGGCACCTGCACAAAAAGCTGAGCTTGGTGGTGTGTGCTTGTGGTTCTGGGTCTGGGGGGGGGGACTGGAGCCTTGGGGGCTGATGGTTTGTCATTCTAACCTTACCTGTGACCCCAGAGACTCTGACTCCTGCGAAATGAAAGTCCAGGTTAACCCCGGCTTACACACACACACACACACACACACACACACACACACACTCACACACACACACACTCATACCTGTGCCTCAACTCCCACAGAGTATGAAAGTGGTTTTTTTTTTTTTTTTCTTACATATCATCTCACTATATAGCTTAGGCCTGAACTTCCATTCATTTCCTCCAGCCACAGTCTCTAGAATGCTGGGGTTACAGGAGTGTGAAGCCACATTTAGACTATAAGGCATGGACTTTAACTGGGTTTGGAAGTGTGTAAGATTTTTTCAAGAAGTGGGGTGGTGAAAGGGCGGAGTAGTTATGAGTCGATAGATGATTGAGAGGGCTGAGCAATTTCTTCATTTTCCAAGACCTCTTCTCTGGAAATCACATATAGTTATAAAGTTACCATATAAACATATAAACATATCTATAAAGTTACCAGTGTTAAGAATTATTCATGTGGGGCCTTTTGGCTTGGACTTTCTGTGCCATTGTATCCTGAGTCTTGCTTGTTTTTAAGCAGGCTGAGTGCAGATCTTTCCTTATATAGGATGTGGGGGAGAGGATCCAGATCCGGGTCTCAACATTAGTTCCTGTTGTTCACTGCTTGTCTGAGTATGTGCCACTCACCTGTCCTGTGTGCTGCTTATCTCTGTCCTGTGTGCCCGAACTGCTTCACCTTGAGAAGGAAGGCTTTGGCTCAGCTGGTGTTCTGAGATCTCTTCCTGCTTCAAAACTTCAAAAATTTGACTTCCTGTAGTTTGTATTAGCTGGGGATGAACTCTTGTCTTCTTCCTACCTTCCAAAGATTTTGTACTAGTTACTTTTCCAGCAGGTGTGGATATTTCAAATAAAACTTAAGGCAGGATGGGGCCCACGGTTTGATGGTGCAGTACAACATGGCAGGACAGTAAAAGCTGACCTCACTGTGTCTGCAATTCAGCTGATGGGATGGCGGTGCTGTCCACATTCAAGGCAGGTCTTTCCTCTTCACTTAAACATTTTGAGAACACCTTTATAGACACACAGAGATGTGTTTCCATGGCAATTCTAAATCCAGCGAAGCTGACAATTTATTACACTACCCTCTACCCTGTGGGGCTTAGACAGTCAAGTCATGCTTCTTTTGTGTTGGGTGGCAGAGATCTGCCCCGTGCCTAGTGAAAACACTCTCGGGAAATACCTGGTATCAGTCATTACACTTCAGTGTGAATTTAAACAGTATGATGTCTCTCTTGTGACACTGTATGTTATTTTTCCTTTACTAGTTATGATACAAAGGCTTTTCCAAGTCCCCAGGGTTTCATCCATGCTCCGAGTGAGGGTGCAGGTGAATGGGAAGCTCATTCTGTCCACTGAACTTGCATGTTTCCTTCTTTCGCATCAACTTACCATAGCTGTAGCCTCAGTTGGCCTCATGGTTGAAAAATACAAGGAGCCAGCTCCATCAAGTGGCAAGAGAAGAAATTCCACCCAAGTGGGGCTGTGCCATGGAAGCTGGGCTATGCCTGCCAATCAGCACCACAGTGTCGGTTTGCATTATTAGTATGGCATGTTTGAGGCGGCTGTTTATCAAGAGATGAGCTTATTAGGCTCATAGTCTTGGAGATTCAGAGTCCAGGATTTGAGGCTCCTATTAGTGTGGCTTCTGGTGAGGATGGTGGATAGCAGTGGATCACTGCAGGACTGCACATGGGAACACATGGTTACAGATGTGTGTGCCAGTGCATCACATGGTTACAGATGTTGTGTGACAGCGCATCACATGGTTACAGATGTTGAATGGCAGTGCATCACTGCAGGACTGTACATGGGAACACATGGTTACAGATGTTGTGTGACAGCGCATCACATGGTTACAGATGTTGTGTGACAGCGCATCACTGCAGGACTGCACATGGGATTAAATGGTGATCTGTCAACTGAGGAATGGTGCAGGGAAGATAGGGGACATGGGGTCCTACAATCTTGCTATAGGACAGCCTCAGTGACCTAAGGAATTCCCATTAAACTCTACCTCTCATTTATTTTAATATCTTTATTGATACTTTGAGGATTTCATACAATATCTTTTTATCATGTTCTTTCTCATTCCCCAACTCTCCAAGACTCTCCTCCACTTCCCTACCCACCTAATTCATATTCTTTCTTTCTGTCAAAACAAGCAAAACCCAAAACACAAAAAATGGACTCTGATTTGTACTGGCCAACTACTTCTGAGCATGAGGCCAGCCCTGGAATGTGGTTGATATATCCAGTGGCAGTCAACTGAAGAAAACTGATTTTGCCTCTCCTAGCAGTTATCAATAGCTTCTTGGTTACAGGTGGAACTATGTGCCCAAGTCTCTACTCTGTGAAGGGACTTTGTCTGTAAGTCTCTCAGGTCCCAGGTCCATAGCACCTTCCAGTACTGTTACTCTGGAGGTGGGGGAAGGTAAATATGTATATGTGGCTCTTTGGAGAGAGTCTTAGTTACTTTACTATTTCTGTGATAAGACACTATGACTTGTAGAAGAAAGCATTTAATTTGGGGTTCATGGTTCTAGAGGGTTAGAGGCCATGACCATCATGGTGGACAGCATGGCAGTAGTCAGGCAGACATTATGCTAGAGTAATAGCGGAGAGCTCACCTCTTGGGACACAAGCAGGAGGCAGAGGAAGAGAGAGACAGAGACGGAGAGATACACACAGGAAGACAGAGACACAGAGAGAGAATAACTGGGAATGTCATAGGCTTTTGAAACCTCAAAGTCCACCTCTAGTGATACACTTCCTTCAACAAAGCCACACCTCTTAATCCTAACCAAGCAGTCACCAACTGGAAACCAAGTATTCAAAGATAGGAGTGTAAGCCATTCTCATTAAACCCACTACGGGGAGATTCAACACTAAAGCCACAGCACTGGCCTTCACCCTATGCACATCAGGACACCATATATGAGGCCATAGTCGTCAATAATCTGAAGGAATCTAACAATATATTACAAATAGAGAAGTTTTTTAGCAGGATGGTTGGAGGAGCAAGAACAGGGAGCCAGCATGGAAGCAGTTAAAAAAAATAACACGCAGTCAGAAGGTAAGCATACAAGCATACAAACACATGTATATCCCTATTAGGCATCAGTACTTGGGAGAGATTTTTATTTTTTGTGTTTTTTTTTTTTTGAGACAGGGTTTCTCTATGTAGCCTTGGCTGTCCTGGAACTCACTCTGTACACCAGGCTGGCCTTGAACTAACAGGGATCTGCCTGCCTCTGCCTGCCTCCCAAGTGCTGGTATTAAAGGTATGCACCACCACTGCCCAGCATTAGAGCAGTTTTTAAGTGTACTTTCCTTTGGTTCAGTGCTTGTGTGGTAAGTAGAAAAAAAATCCACTAAGTAAAGCAAACAGCTATGTAGCTAAGGATGACCTTGAATTAATCATCCTCCTGCCTCCATCTCCCAAGTACTGAGATTATAGGCATTTTCTATCATGCCTAGCTTAAGTTTGGACATTTAATTATCATTGGTGACAATTCCTATTACTTCCCAGACTGTTTTGCATTGGCTACAAGTGTTATGTTTTCTTTCCTTTTTTTTTTAAATGGCAATTTGTAGGGCTGCTTGGGATATGTGAGACCTGGCTCAAATTCCCCTCCCATCCCCAAAATCAAAAACCCAAATAAATACAAAAAGAACCAGTTTTTTTTTTTTTTTTTTTTTTTTTTTTTTTTAGAAAAGTAAAGCAAACAGATAAAGTTTTGTTCTCGGGACAGTTGAGGTGTTGGGGTCAGCATTTGTGGCTCCTAGGAGAGTTCTCTGCTCTCACCCCCACTGGCTTATGCATTTCCTTTATTAAACACTCCATACAGTATTCACAGGGTTGGGAATGGTCTTGTGAAAATAAACATTACTTTTGTGATTCAGTGAAGCCTGATTGTCTCTCCTGATGGACAGAGGCTGGTGCCAGCCCCGCCCCCTTCCTCTTCCTTCTTCCAAATGGACCTTGGTATACTGTGGAATGATCTCCACAATGAACTTACATGCGGTCACCTCCCATGGTAACATGTTTATATCCATGGAACGATGAGGGTGCTGTTTGCTCTCCCATGCACGTGTTCTGCCACTGGGCTACATTCTATCCCTGACGGAAGAAGGAAGCGGTCTTGACAATTGCAGACATCTTGGCGTCTGAGAAGGAGCAGGGTCAGAAACAATGGCTTTGTCTGGGAGGGTTTCTGGTGTAAAGAGTATCCCTGAGGATGGCAGCAGGTTGCTTCTGCTTTCTCCAATTTCTCTTTCCTCTAGGTCTGAAACAAGGATGGAAGCGCAGGTTCAGGCTTGGAGGAAGAGCTGTAGACTGTTCACTGAACTCATGGCGAGGACTCAGGACAGTGCTCAACAACACGGAGTCTCTTTGTCTCCTCTTCCCATTTCTCCTCAGGGTGTTTCCTCTGACACATATCTTGTGAAGGCAATTCTCCATTTCACATGTTTTCTCCCTTCCCTTCCTCCATCATCCACTAATTTCCGTCACTTATCTAATGTAACTATTAAGTAACAGGATGTATGAGACCATGGGGACACAGAAGCTATTGCTAGAAGGTCTGCACCCAGGACACTTACAGTTAGGTGGTGATAGTCACCCTCCCCATCTCCTAGGACCTTGCAAGAGAAGGGAATCTTCAGATAGAGTCATTGCTTCTTCATCCACGGGTCACTACTGAGGATTTGGTGAGCCCTGCTTTGGGCACTGCTTATATGAATTAGACAGAACTCCAGAGACACACTTAATTCATTTCTGTTTCACTTATTGTGAAGACTTAGATCTTGCAAAGGATCCTTTGGGATGGAAACAAATGGAGGGTTGAGTCTTGTTTAGCCAAGATGCTACATTCCTGGAATGTGGAACTATCCTCACCAGTGGTTGACAGGTTGATTGGTACTCTGTGTACAGATAAAAGGAATAACCAGGGAAAGGAAAAACCAAGAGCTGTGGAAATGGCTAGTGGAGCCCTGGGGATTTTCTAATGTACTAAGTGGGTCTCTTGGATGAGTTGGGTATCACCTGCTCTATTCTGGAAGTTCCCTAATCTCTCTCTCTCTCAACTAGGGGCAGAGCAGTGGAAGAAGAGAAACTTCCTCTGTTGTGGCAACATAGAGGTGGCTGAGTGATAAGATCCCTTCTTCTAGCATGTTCCTTGTACAACTCCCACCTGGATGGAGCAGGAGAGGCTGTGCCGACCTTGTAGATCAGCCTGGACCTCCTGGTCAGCATCCTCCTCAGAGCCGCCTTTACATCTTCCTTCTTCAGGCTGTAGATGAGCGGGTTTAGCAACGGGGTCACCATACTGTACTGCAAAGAGAGCACTTGCTCCAGGACTGAGCCAGATGCTGGGGTCATGTACCTTGGGAGGAATTACACAAAGGAGCAAAGTGAATTCAGGATGAGGATCTCAATACTGCTGGCTGCTATGGTCCATCACACTCCTGCTGACTGTTACCATGGCAATTTCAAAAATGATTGATCACTGGGAAGTCAGTCATTTCTGTCTTCAAAGGTATCCAAGCATGAGTGAACTCACAGGAAGGAACTCTCCATGAAAACAAGTTTTTCTGTGTATTAAGGGGTTCAGGTTAGGACAAGGCTTGTGCATTTCCATAACATTTCCCTCTCTTCAGAGCATCTTGGCTAATAGTCATGATAACATTCCCCATTACTCTATTCACAACAGTTCGGACACACTGTGTTCTCATTTAGTGAGGATTATTTCTTGCAAAATTATGTGTCTAGTTCACGATACTCCCATTATTTCCCACATGGATGGCCCTGAGGTCTACTCTTACAACCATAGCAAATTATTGATAATAATAATAATTAAAGGTGTATGAGTGTTTGTGTGCATGTGTGTATGTGTACTACATGAATTTATGGTACTCATGGAGGTCAGGAGAGGGTTCCTGGTCCCCTGGTACCCTGGAACTGGAATTATGGATGGTTATAAGCCTCCATGTGGATATTGAGAACTGAACCTGAGTCCTTTGCAAGAGTAGCAAGTGTCCTATCCACTGAGCCATCTCTCCAGCCCCAAACACTATTTTTATAATGCTTGGTGGAACAGTTTGGTTTTTTTTTTTGGTTATATTTTTCTTTGGCTTAGAAAAAGAGACAGAAATGGTGAATAAAATGAGAGATAAAAATGGGTTAAGCAACACATATGATTTTAAAATCTTACGATTAAATTATCGGGCATATCTTAAGTATCCCTAGGATTATTTCCCAAAGAAACGTTATTACTTTATCAACAACATTATCTTCACTGGAACAAATCCAACATATCAAGAATGTTCCTTATGGGCTCTGCTTGATTTGATTAAAGAAGGTATTTAGGGGCTGGGGAGGAGGTAGCTCAGTGGTTAAGAATGCTGCTGCTTTAATGGGGGATTGTGGTTCAGTTCATAGTACACATGTCAGACAGCATATGACCGCATGTTTCTCTGGCTCCAGAGGATCCAGTGCCCCTGTGTGGCGTCTGCAGCGCGTGTGCGTGCATGCGCATATGCGCGCGTGCGCGTGCACAAACACACACACACACACACACACACGCACACACACACACAATCTTTAAGGAAAAGGTATTCATCTAACTAGAATTTCTAATGATCTATTTTTGTAATGTGTCTGTGAAATGAGCAGAGCAAATCTTATTGTCACTTTACGGTCTATGAGAAAACTGAAATAAAGGGAGGTTCATTCATCTGCAGCCTCAGATGAGCCTTTTGAAAACCACACATGGCTAGTCCACAGCAGAGCAGGGCTGGAGCTCAAGCCTTGAAAATTCCAGGATGATTCTTTCCTGCTGCATCCATGCACTGTTCTGTTAGGAGAGGAAAACACGACATTTATGACTAGGAACACACCTGTAAACCCCTGAACCATAGAAGATGGTGACTACAAGGAAGTGTGAAGAACATGTGGAGAAGATCTTGCTCTGACCTGTGGATGAGCTGATGCTCAGGGCTGTTGTGATGATACAGCCGTAGGATCCCAGCAGTAGGACCAGAGTACCAAAACCTAAGATCACCAGGGTTGTCAGGATGGAGATGACAGTAGTGTAGGGTCAGAACAGACCAACAAGAGCACTGGGGGAAATCTCATAGGCAAAGCTGTGGATTAGGTTTGGGCCACGGAAGTGCTCTTGAGCTAGCAGGAAGGTGTTAATCAGGCTAACACTGATTCCTATGGCCCAGGATATATATAACTGCAAGCCCAGAACATACCTTTCCACTCATAGTGACCACATACAACAATGGTGACACACAGCCTGGAACTGGTCATAGGTCATGGCATAAAGGAGGCAGGCTTCAGTGGCCCCAGAAAATACGACCAGGGCAATCTGAATAAAACACCCAAGGAAGGATATTGTCTTCCACTCGGAAATAAGGTTCCTTAGCAACTTGGGTGCAATGACTGAAGAATAGAAAACATCTATGAGGGAGAGGTGTCTCAGGAAGAAATATGGGGGTATGAAGGTGGGGATCACAGCTGATCACCAGCAGCATCAGCAAGTTCCCCAGGACGGTCAAGAGGTAAACCACCAAGAGCAGTGCCCGAGTGCGAGGGATGCTGGTCAGTCCGGGGCACAAACTCAGTGACATTTCTAGCTTCCATGGAGCATTCAAACATCCCCGTCTCAGGGATGTCCGGTGCTGCTATGCATCCCAGAAATGATGAATTAAACTTTTGACTCAGGGGGATTACGAGGCAGTGGCGTCTCTGCTGTGTCGGATTGTTAGCGCTTCCTAGCTCAGGCAGTGATCTCCTGGCCAAAGTGGAGAAGGTGAGTAGGAAATATGCAGAGGACAAGAACTAGAAAAGGAGGGAAGGAGAAACAGGGTTAGAAAAGGAGAAAGAAGAGAACCTAGGTAACAAAGAGGACCCTAAGAGAGACACACATAAATCCTCCTAGGAAGGGGAAAAAGACAAGCTCTCCTGAGTAAATTGGGAGCAAAGAGGGCAGGGGTGGGGTGGGAGGGGAGAGGGGAGGAGGGAAAGGGAGTGGGGAAAACATATAGCTCAATTAAAAAAAAATAGGCCACTTGGCTACCCTAGTGAGCTCCCCTGATATCAGTCAAGGAGAAAGCAGAAATGGCTCAGTTTTCAACATAGACTAAAATGGTCCAGAACCTGCTTTCCCAAGGTAAATGCTGGAATCCTTACAGCTTCATGCTTAGGTTTGTACAATACCTACAGATAAGCATATGCCAACCTTATTTTAGAGCTAGCAACCAGAATCCAGAAGTGAAGGTGTGTTATGCATCAGCCAAGGTGGCTGTTTCACTTTCTAGAATTGAACCCAACATCCCAGACTCTCTAGCCAATGATTAGTGTTGCCACTTTAGCAAGGAACTTGAAGGTTGCAATTTTAGTGTGTATCAATCACTTCCTAGACTCTAGTCTGAGGTGTAGGGGATAAACACTGGGTCTATGGAATGGGTCAGAAGGAAGTTCTTTGCTTTCTTACCCATGTAGATATCTTGAGCTACAAAAATCTTAAGACAAGTTCTTGAAGAGAAAAAAAAAAAAAAAAAAAAAAAAAAAAAAAAGAAACAAGAGAAAGAAGCTGAGGATAGACCCAGGACTCTGAGAGGTATTATGTTCTGTTATGTTCTGTTTCCTAAGGGAGTCAAACTCAGCCTGTAGGACTGCCTGGCACAGTGATTCCGCAGTAAACATTTTGGCTGGCCATCTGATAGAAGTATTGTGACCCTTCATGATGCTGCAAGTCCTTTATCTTTCCTCATACATTTGTAAATCACTTGAATTTTTCATTAAAGATATCAGCAGGGGCTGGGCGGTGTTGACACATGCCTTTAATCCCAGCACTTGGGAGGCAGAGGCAGGCAGATCCTTGTGAGTTCAAGGCCAGCCTGTTCCACAGAGAGAGTGCTGGGACTCTCTATGTAGCTCTAAAGCTACATAGAGAAACCTTGTCTACAAAAACAAAACAAAACAATATTGGTAGGGTAGGCCAGAGGGCTTAGTGGTGAAAGGTGCTTGCCACAAGGCTAGTGATATCCCTGGGACCCACAGAGTGAAGGGTGGAAGGAGAGTGCTGACTCCAGCAAGATGTCCTCTGAACTCCACACACATTCACTGTCACACATGTGCCACCCCCAACAGATGAGAAAGTCTGGAAAACTAGGTGTTTGCTACTGAATAGGAACCCTTGTCCCGGTGTATGCTAACTCTAGCAGAAGTGTCACACAGTTCCATGGAAACTGGGCAGGCAGAAGCTCTCTAGTGGGAGTGAGGACAATGCCCTCCTCTGCTGTCACTGCGCCCTCTGGGTTTAGCACAAGAGTCCACAGATGCCCGAGATCCTCTGAACTGGATACGGATAAAGCCACGTGAAACTTACATCGCTCACTTTCTGAACATTACAGATATCATCTCCCAAAAAGGTGGGCAAATAATGGTAGGACAGACAGTTACGGGGTTTAGTTTAGTACAGAGGGAGGTGAAGAAGTCACCTCTCTTCTCAAAGGCTAGCAGAAGGTTCATAAACGAAGATCTGATTTCCACCCTCATGGGTTCCCAGAGTGGGCAGTTTTGGGAGAAGATGAAATTGAATAAGACTTATCCTTACCTGGATCCCTTAGTGGAGGGATGCCCAGAGAACAACTTCGCCAGCACTGCACAAAAGCCACGGGTATGACTTGGTTACTGTGGGCTTCCCTTGACTTATTCCTAGGGGATACAGGCAAGGGATTTCTGGGCACTAAGCTCTTTAAATTTTGGTTATGCACCTTGGTTGGTTATCAGCAGCCCACAAGAGACTTCTGAATAAAGATTCATCTCCATAGTCCTTTTGTTCAAGGGGAAGGGTAGTTTTCCTAAATTCTGCTTTACAAATAACAATGGCCAGAGGGACTTTGAGTCATCTTTACACCTTGGAGAGTGAAGGGGGTCCCTGGAGAGCTTGAGCGGGTCTGCCCTGAGTCTGAGTAGGTGCTCCAGGCTGACTCTTTCTTTGTGTTTCTCTTGCTTTAGTGGGTTACATCACACAGGAGGACCCAGAGGTGGCCAATAATCTGTTTTTAGTGCTATTATTATGTAAATATATCACTGATATATGAGATATGAGTAGGTTATAGGCATTCACTGTATACGTGCACAAAATTGTGAAAAACAAACACACAACCCTTTTACCTCCAGCACTGCCCAGTTCTGCTTTTGTATCTATTTTGCCTCTTCCCCTAGGATCCCTCCACAGAGATGCATCCTTATTAACTAGAATGTCACTGTGTTGTTCAGACACCTCCACAAATCTAATAAAATGTTTGGCTGAAAAAAAGCTGTGAAAAATTCTGGACAGTATTTCCAAATTAAACATTCCTTTCACTGAACACATATGCAACTTAACATTCTCAAATATGAAGTTAAAAAATCCAAACATGGTCTCTTACTCTTGAATTATTGTTGTTTCATGCACACACACACACACACACACACACACACACACACACACACACACACTTATAAATACGACCTGAAGAGTTTATTTAATGTTGCTCATATGTGTATGTGTTTAGGGCTGATTGTTTGAGATTGAATCTCCTATTAGGGGGCTCATGCCTGGAGTAGACTAATTACCTCTCTCTTAGCAGTCATTCACTGCTTGGGGTTCTTCTTCTAGGGGTGGGGACTTGATTTCCCCCATCCACATTGGGGTGTCAATTGTTGTCATTTTTCAGGTTTTGTTTAGGTAACCATATTGTTGAGATTTCATGGGTACAGCTTCCCTGTCATGTACAGAAAGAAATATCTTGCAGCAGATGCCCTGTTTCTCTGGCTTTTACAGTCTCTCCACCCCTTCTTCCAGGATGTTCCCTGAACCTTCAGGGTAGGGCTTGTGTTGTAGAAGTATCAGCCGGTGTCAGCACCCATGGCCAGCATTCTGTGTATTTTGACCAGCTGTAGATCTCTGTAATAATTTATGCTTCAAAACGATGCTTCTTAGTGAATCTGGGGAGGGGGAGAATAGGAGGGGTTGGAGGGAGCAGAAGGATGGGGCAAATGATGTAAACACACCACTGTCTTCTGACCTCCACATGCATACACAATATGGCAACAAGCTCACAGCATACACACAAAATAAGTAAATAAAAACACAATAACATGTTTCAAAAACTAGAAATGGCACTGGGTGGTGGTGGCACATGCCTTTTATTTTAGCACCCAGGAAGCAGAGGCAGGTGGATCTTTGAGTCTGAGGCCAGCGTGGTCTATAGAGTGAGTTCCAGGATAGTTAGAGCTACACAGGGAAACCCTGTCTCAAAAAACCAAACCAAACCAAACCAAACCAAACCAAACCAAACCAAACCAAACCAAACCAAACCAAACCAAACACTAAACAAAATAAAAAAGGAAAGAAGGAAAAAAATATTGTTTGAACATTTCATACATGCATATAATGTGTTTGATCAACTCCATTTTCCATCTCCTCTCCTCCCCTCCAATTCCTTCCCTATTCTCTCATACCACCATTCCCTTCCAATTTCAAGTGTTCCCTCCTTCCTTCCCTCCCTCTCTCCTTCCCTCCTCCCCCCCTCTCTCTCTACACACACACACACACACACACACATACATCAGTCTGAAACAGGGTCTCTTTATGACATAAAGTCCTGGTTGTCCTAGGACTTGCTGTGTAGACCTGACTGGCCTCAAACTCACAGAGTTCTATCTGTCTCTGCCTCCCAATTTCCAGGATTAAAGGCATGTGCCACCAAGCCCAGCTTATTTTTGAGAATTTCATATGAGTTCTGTATTTACATAATTTCATCCATCCCTTTGTATTGCTGCATCTGCCAGTGTCTTTATTTTTTGTGTTCAGGTTGATGTGAAAATTTCTAAGTATTTATTTAGGTTTCTAATTCTTAGCATATAATTCTTTTAATAATATGATTAACTGTGTTCAAATATTACACATACATTTACTTACATGTATGAGTCCATGTGAGTGCCTGGCATGAAAGTGCAGGTGGTGGAGCCTGGAAGAGGGTGTCAGGTGCACTGGAGCTGGAGTCACAGGTGGTTGTGAGTTGCCTGACATGGGAATCTGACTCAGTGGCAAATGCTCTTAACCAATGGCTGGTCTTCTGGTCTTTCCAGCCCCTGACTGATTCTGCTTACAAATTTGTGTATTTACCTTGTATCTATTTCTTACTCAGTTTCAACAGATGTCTCTTCCATGAATCATTCCCCCTAATCTCTCCATATGGAGAAGAGGAGAAAGGTTATAGTCCCCTTGGAGAGGGACTCCCTGCCCCCAAGGGTTCTTTACATTCAAAGTTACTGGAGTGCTGTGCATCCGTGACTGCTTTTGTAGAGATCTCTGTTCAGTTCCCAGCACCCATATGACAGCTTATAACTGATTCCACCAGCACGGCACACATGTGGTACACATACACACTCGCACGCAAAACACCCATGCACATGAAATAGAAATAAGCCAGTCTTCAAAATATTCAAGTTATATAATACTGGTCAATCAATCCCCTATTTGCAGCATATGGATATCCTCGCTGTTAGTCTCTTCTATTCATCTTATTGTATTTTTAGCTGAAGACTGTTTCACAGGATAGGTGTAAGAATC